ACCCCAGGTTTTCCGGGTCCTATTGACGGTCACTTGACCTCTCTTGGAACCACAAGCTCGTAGTGTATACCAGGAGTCACATGGAGGGCCTGGGTGGTGTGGCTCGTCCCATCCAGTGAGTGGATGTTCTTTGCAGCCCGAACCTCCAAGTTCGGCACCCCGTCTTGTGACTGCTGGTGACTATTATTATATACGAAACTATATATGTCTTGTGCATATATCATATATCATATATCTATGCCTAGATCTTCCAACTGTGCGGAATTGGCAGAGATTCTGCACAGAAAAGGAAGATCCTGGTATCCATGATCCCTTTTCTTGCGAAGCGGTGTGCTCAGCTGACCAAGGTGAACGAGGGAATCCCATGACCAGGTCGTGTCAGTCGATCGCATTGGACCCGTCCGGAGGCTCCCAACGAAGCCGAAGCCGAAGCCACTGACCCTCCGAAGGTACCGGCCCCACCCGGAGGGATGACTAACGGTTTGGTTCCAGCTGCGGTCCTGTCAGCTTGGAGCTGGCACGAGCCCGTGGCCGTCCGCTGCCGGCCCAGCGTCGCCTGACACCGGCGGGTTCCGCGGCGGTGGCGGGCGAAGAGGGATGGATCAGACCAACAGAGGTTGAAGAACCCTATAGACATCTATATAGACTATCCTACAGGTAGCAAAAAACATCCATTCCATCGCTGTCCAATCGCTGAACCGGTTGAGGATGGACAGAACCGAAGCATGTCCTTCCCTAGACTTCCAACCACTATAAAATTAATAGGCTGAATCCCGAACCAACTAAGGATTTTACACTACAAAAACCAGTTCAACCATTCTTCTAATGGTCTTGGAAGTCTAGGGCTTGATGGTCTTTGCTTTGGTGGTGTCAATTAAATACGGTCTTCTAGGGCCTTCTAGGGAATCGCCAACTTCAGTGGTCACCATCTAAAACTTCTTGGACCGCAAGGGGTTCTCACGGGCAAGTTGCATAATCCATCTGCTGCCTTTTGGGACTGGCAGAGGAAAAGAGATCCTTCAGCATGAGATGTAGATCGAATAACATCTTCAGAACGAACAAAAAGCTGATGAAAGCATGATGTCAGCAGGCTTTCAGTGTTCTCCACTCTGCGTTTAGACAGGCTTCATTGATTCATCCGACATGTCTGCCTAGAAGATATAGATGGCCTAGATCTGCGTCTGTCAATTCTCCTGGCTTCCAAATCCGCTCACGTCTTCAGCGTCTGTACATCCGGATTTGCTTCGTTCCTGCCTTGAGCGGTTCCCAGTGTGCCAAGCGTTCGTCCAGGATTTCCTGCGGACTCGGCAGTGGACCGGTGGACCAAGAAGGGCACCATCGCATGCGATGCCAGGCGATGTGTCTTGCGAAGGATGTGTCTGGCGATGCTGCGCAACAGCAGGATCGATGAGACTCGTATCCGTCATGTGTGAGAAAACAGGCACCACGTCGAGGTCGCGGCTCCACCTGATAGTCCTTGCGCACGCTGGCGGAGATGGACTTCACCAGGTCCTCCGAAATGCTGTCCACCTGAACGCCCACGACTTTCCCCCACCCGACGACCGAAGGAAGCGGCTCCCCCCGCTCCACCCGAAAGCGCGAGGACGCGGCGACCGGAGAGCGAGGAAGCGCGCGTCGCCTTGCTCTGGGAGAGGTCCAGCACCGAGGAGCGCAAGGCGCGGATGTCCTGAGGCCGGGGGTTGGCCGCGCCCGGTCGCCGCCGATCGCGAGCGTGGAGGACCAACAGAACTGGAAGTCGCGGTGGAGCCCCCAAGGTTCGAATCTGGACATCTGCGGTGCAAAAAAACTCTCGTATGTATGCCGAAAGCTGGAACATCCGTCGAAAGTTGGGTACGAAACCAAGCGACATGGTGACCGGCTCAAACCAGCCGTGCCAGACACAGACCACCCCATGCAACACATATTCCCGGAATGAGAAAGAATGTTCGAAGCGAAGGATGTCATCCAGTCCGCGGCCATTCCGATCCTTGGGTCGCAGGCGTTATTCAAGTACCCTCATTAGATGTGCATACCTCATTTAGATGGTTGTGTTTTGGCCCGAGAATCCCAGGATGGCGAAAATCCATATCTAGATCTACCAAATCCACCCCCTAGTACTGCCCCCCATGTCCGATTGCTGGAGAGTTGGCCCACAAAGCTGGCCAGGCCGATGCCCTCGAAAAAGCGTCCCGCAGAGCGGCCCCGGCGCGGTGCGATCTTTGTTCTGCAGGGATTTCTGTGATTGCTTTAGGATGCATCGCATCCTCGGATGAGCTCCCTTCGTCCCCTCAATCCATTCACTCCCGGGCAAGGGAGTCTAGCCGACATGCTTGAGGAATCGAAAACATCCAGATCAGTTTGATGATATTATACTATATTATAGTATATATATATATAGAGAGAGAGAGACTTGATCAGCCAGTTGTTCTAGCTCGTCGATTTCAGGTACCTTCCGAATTGGATTGGTATCGTGAAGTGGTACGACCTGTTCTTTTATCTCTTTTGCCATATACTTCTTACTCCAACAGAAACACTTGATTTGATTTGAAAAGGCTCTGTTTAAAGCTATGTCTATGTATTTAGATGTATATAGTTCAAAGACTTTGCCTCACACACCTTCAACAACAGTGAATTGATCTGAACTGCTTTCCATTCCGCGCGATAAAATTCGGCTCACTGTGTTCCAAGACCCATGTTTTTTGGTTTGCCGCGATCTGCAGTGTTCCGAAAGGTTGATCCTGCCGTGGAGACACTGGAGACGTCGACCAATGGTCGACCCAGGCAAATGTCCAAGTTGGGAGGTCTATAAGGACCCTCCATCTGTCTAAGACATCTTGGGGTGCCAGTGCCATCTACTCTGAAGCCACGGTGCCTGAGTCATGGCCCTGAGTCACACCTCATTCTGTTGGTAAGGTTAAAAAATAAGACATGGTATTAATAACGAAAGTCTATAGGCACGCGACCCTTATTGAAATGCTGATTCCGATTACAGTATATGTATACATATGATATAATATATCCCTACAAGTCAAAGACCTCATTTTACTCGGGATTGTCATGCAAAACCAATACTTAAGGAGGTAAAAGACCAGGTTTTACTGGGTCTTTGGACTTGTAGGGTGTATATATATATATATATGTGTGTGCAAATGTGTGCAGCATGCGTTTCGTCAACGAAGATTGTTGGAATGGGAGACCAGCTGACGGGCAATTGACTTTGGTAGTTGGTACAAAAAGTGTTTCTCCCCGACAGATCACTGCAAAAGTGCTCGGATCATCTGGGACAGACCAAGAAGGAAGCTGAGAAGAACCTAATAGTGATAAAGATCTCTGCTAAAGCCTCTGGTGGTAAAGGAGATCGTACAACCTTCAGAGATTCTCCACTTCAAGCCCTGTGACTTCCCGTACACAACCCTACTTTTTGGCCGCCCCTCATCTACTACCCCTTTCAAAAGTCGCGCACTAGTGGCTTGAGCGTTCTTCTATCCTTCCCCAACCTTATAATTAACAGACTGACTAACTGATAGCATGGCAAAAAGTTCAGACAAATACCAAGTCCTGTGAAATTGAATGCTGATCGAAAGAAAGAAAGAAAAAACAAAGGAAAGGAATGGAAAGGGAAGGGAAGGAAGGCAGAAAGGAAGAACACCTACCTTTTCTCAGATCCAGAACCCATTGCTCCTGCACTACTACAGGGACATCCTCCTCTTGTCTTTAGGGTACCTAATTTCGGGAACTTCACTTCACAGCCAAATTAGAGCCCAACTCTTCTCTTTGCTTCGGGCCTCGCATGGAACAAACAGATGCAACCATCCGTCTCTTTGAACAGCAGTAACAAGGACGCCTTCCTTCGGTGGAGGCCATTGCTATTAGGTTGGAGGCCATCGCTACTAGTCACAAGATGTCACTTAAGAAGCTACTAGAGTTACTATACTAGGACCCACTGTCGGGGTGGTTCATGGACACCCCGAATCACAGCTAAGGTGCTTTTAATAGACACCCCTGGTCCGGGTGTCCTGGTAGGCAGAAGACGTCTCATTTAAAACGGCAGTACCCTTGCGCCTTTCGGACACGTTCCGGCCATCTACTTCTACTGTGATCGGTGCACCGGACAGGTGCACCGCGTCGTGCGACGTGGAGGCGAAGTGACCTGCACTGCTCCGTCCTTCGGTGGGTCGAAACAGGGGAGGACACCGGGCTCAGCAGATGAGCTTGGTGAGCCAGAGGCCCCAAATGAGCTTTCAGTTGACCTTCCAAACTGCAAAAATCTATCATGATCTATCACCATCTCCCACAGATCCCCCCAGAAGAACCATCCTGTTGGTCGATGGGCAGACGACACACTTTTGAGCTCAAAACTGTGCCTCAACTGCGTTGCCAGAAACGCCGCACGGCGTCACGCGCAAGAACGTCATGCGCCACAAACTCAGCCCAGGCTTCCCTACTCAAGCAGGATGGGCTGGGGACTCCACTGAAATTCACGGAACATCTACATCCAGGTGGGTCGACCGAGCAAGACGAGCCGATCTTCGGCGCGCGAAAAAGCCCGAAGCAGAACCGAACGGGCGGATCGATGCATCGAGTCGCGTTTTCGGGGGACACGGAACACGAGGATCACAGCATCCAAGGGATCCATGCTTGGTGCTTTTATTGACTGATCCATCAGGGATCCATTCAAGCATCCAAGGAATCCATCCAAGGGATCCATCAAGGATCCATCTGTCTCAGGAGTGCAAACTTGTGACACTCCCTGAAATAGCACTCCGTTTGGGTATTGGGCAGATGGTCATCCAAGGGGGGCATGCCATCCGCCTAACCATGAGTACTCCAAGGAGCGTAGTCGTGAATTATTGACCAACACATGTGGATTTGTAACTTAATGGGGATCCCTGGCCGGATAGACTGGTCTATTTCCCAAGTCAAAACAACGATGAACTGTCGCAACCGAATCCTGCTGGTTCATTGGAGAGTGACTTGAGTTCCACGTCCATCTCCATTGTTCGGAAACAAGAACGGAATGTTCCGTCATCAATCTTCAGCCCATCCCGACTTGTTTTTTCCCCCCCCCGGGGGCAAAATCCGCCCTCAATGGTTGGCACCCTGAAGTACTCGAAGGGCCTCGTCCACCTCGCGTGGGTCTCTCACGCGTCTCACGCGCGGGAAGTTGTGTCTCGGCTCGGAGGCGAACAGAAGAGGCCATGCACCGGAAGAAGATGGAAATGCTGCTGGAAAATGGAACATCTGTGATTTGGGCATGGGAATTCGCTAAGAGTTTAAGTCACCTGTGCCGCAAAGGCCTGAGCTACTTTAGATCTAATCCGTGGTTTGGTGATGGCATCATCCTTCACTAGCTTTCCAGATGGCGCAAGTCCAGAGATCTTGGGATGGAGGACCCAGATGCACTGGCGCTTCCATCCCCTATGGGATCCAACTACTTTCTCAGGTATGGTGATGTGTGCCCAGGCGTTACCGAACCTGAGAAGGTAAGCTTCCTGGAGTCCTATAGGGATTCTTCTTCACCAGCGTCTCCATCGCCCAAACCTCCCGTGGCCGGTACCGGGCCACGCGGGTTCGACGACGACGAACGCGGAACCGGGACGGGTGGGCGGAGGCGGCGGAAGCGAACCGGGCCGCGCCGGCGGAGGCGAAGCTGGGGGCCTTGTGCTTGAGCTGCTGCTCCGAATCCAACAAGATCAGCAACTCGCTGTTGTCCTCGGCCCGGGATCGGTCTGCTTGAGAGGGCCCCCTAGAGCGTAGGGCGAGCGAGCGAGCCAGAGACCCAGAGACCCACGCCGTTTGGGGCGGCGGGTGGTGAGGGGGGGAGGTCGGCACCGGCCTGGTGGTGGGTTCTCACGGAGAAGCTTAAGGGAGGGGTGCCATGCTTCTGGAGGCCTTTTCTTGAACAAAAGAACACAACACCCACCCGAACAATCCAGGTGAACATGGATGAAAAATGACAGTCACTGCATGACCCGTGCGTCTACGGCGGATTAGAAACCCTCACGGAGCCCTCGGCGTAACGACGGAGCTCTCGGACTCTCTTTCTTCGTCCGCCGGAGCCCTCGTCGTCTCCGAGCATCCATCTCCAACATCATTCCTCGGCAAAAAACGGCCAAGCAAGTGGACGATGGGCCACTGCCACACATTTGTTGACAACTCCTCGTCTGCAACAGTTCTTGCATGCGGGTTTTTAGGTCTCCGAAGATCCTAGAGCTGCTTGGCAGCAGTCAGGGAGACTTCGACTTCTTCTTCTTCTTCCTCTTCTTCTTCTTCTTGACTTGACAGGTTTTGACAATGGGGATTCGTTTGCGGGGAGAGTATGTCGTTTTGCTGCAGCAGGAGCTTCCCGGTGTTCTCTGTAAGGGAAGCATGGTCGTTCTGGTCGACTCTTCGACTTCGTGTTCGATCCTAACAGCCCTCCCCGGCCAAAGGAACACCTCCCACGCATCGGGGACACACCAGACGTCGCTCCGTCGAACGACACGCGTATAGAAGAAAGGGCCCAAACCCTCACGGCATGGGGGGCCCGATCCTTCAGTCGAACTGCCTGGGTTTAACCCAGTTCGTGGCCCAAAAAGAAATGGATGGAATGTGTCCTTAGTCCCAGCCATTTCCTAAAGGATCTCGCCTTATTGGAACACTCCTTTGTTTCCAGGTGGGTCTTGGGGGGGGTCCAAGGTGGGTCTTAAGCATGTCTTAAGATGTTCCTTTGCTTCTTAGCAAGACCCAGGATGGAGCAGATTGATTTCCCTAGAAGTCGAACCACCGTTTATTTAATAGCCTGAATCCCGAACGAACCATTGTTTTCCTCAGGATTGTACACTACAACACCAAATCCTTCGCAGTTTAGAAATAGTCTTTGACTTCCTGACTTCCGCTTTTCGTTGCGTCTTGAGGGGCACCTCAGAAACGTTGCAAACGCTGCAAAATCCAACGCTTAATCACCAAGGCGCCCGTGATCTTTCCTGCTTGCTCGGGATGGATCTTGGAAATCAACGGGAAAAGCTTCTCACCGATCATCTGCTTTTGCACCTCAATCAACTCTCCCCAAGAGACAAGAAACTCCTCGCGCGGCCCCAAATCGCGGGAAACCGCCGTCAAGTCGAAAGGAGCTCGGCAATCGGGCTTGCCCACTGTAATGTGCTCGGCAAAAGGCTTTTTTGAGGGGGAAAAGAAACTGCACCTGAAACACGTATGAACACACGTTTCTTTGGTGGGTTGAGCCCAGAAGGCCGTGATGAGAAAAAGGAAAAGCCTGTCACTTGCTTCCAGAATTCCCAAGTTGTAGTGACTAGTCTTCTTGCTTTCTAGTTGACTTAGTCTGTTTGCATTCCTCTTTCCTCACAGCTTGCGCCGCAATTCAGGTCACCCAAGGCGCCGGAGGCGCTGCGTTGGCCAGCGCCGCGGCGTTCCTGGGGGCTTTCGAAGACTGGAAGTTTGGAGGCTTAGAGGGTTTGTTCGTCTTAGAGGGTTAGACTGGAGAGAGGCTTGGTTCAAAGCTGGAAAAAAAGGCGCTTTGATCATGTTTTTTCGACTTCGTCGCTGACGGAGGGGCGAATGTGTCGGTGGATCTGGAAGATCTGATCTGTCCAAGACTGACGGTGAAACAACTCGTCTTCTGCGAACGGTCCGAATGACCTAGGTGTCCCACCAACTGTCCTTCTGTCCGAATGACTTAGGAACCTGGAACTTTCCTCGTCTTAGGTGCCAAAGATAGTGTTTGGACTTTTGGGTTGATTTGACAACATAAGGGGTTGACCTTTCAGGTTCGCAATTCATCTTTACCGAAACGCCGTCAACACCGCGTGTCCTGGACACGCGGGTCGTGGAGGAGAATGACCCAAGAACCGCCCATGTGATGAATCTGATGGATCAAAGCCCGGAAAAAATATCACAATGATCTAAGTACCAGGAATCACATGGAGTTGGGTGGTGTCGCTCGTCCCATCCAGTGAGTGGCACCCCTAGCCTCCATTCAGCACCCCGACAATGCATGGGTACAACCCCCATGTCAACCTCAATTCCCCGTGTACGACACATCTGCACCGCCGGCGAGGTGCAATTGCCCAGCGCCCCCGGGGCGAGGCCTACAGATGAACCCGGAAACGGTGCGAGCGGAGGGAAGGTCCGCGAGCGGAGGGAAGGGGGAAGGGGCGAGCGGAGACCCTAGCCTTCCAAGGCCATGTTTAAAAAATGGAGGACCATGGTCGACCTGGTTTTTTTGCAGTGTAAAATCCTCAAGTAAACCCATGGTTGTTTGGCAAAGCCTTGTGCAATGAAATGGTGGGCCAGCACTTGTATGGGGTATAAGCATTCCATGGCCACCAGAGCCTCTTTTGAGGCTCTTTGGATGAACGAGCAGGTGACTCGGGAGGGATCCAGAGACAGGGGAGCAGGTTCCTCTCATCGGACGGAGGTCCATGGACGTCCACTGGTCCAGTCCAAGGACCATCCCCCCAACAAACGAAAGGATGAGGGTGATGATCCCAGCACCACCCAGTTTGGGTGGTATATAGACCCCCCTGAAGAGGTATGTTCCATCTAACTTGAGGCCGAGGGTAGGTGACGAAAGCTAGCAGGGGTGCATCCGGACTGGTGGGACATCAAGCGGAGTGAGGCAAATGCTCATGAGGTAAAACGTTGTGAACACGTAAGACACACAAACAGCAATGACACAGCCAACCTTCGAATTGAAGTCCCCGACAATTAAGGAAGCGTGGCTGGACTTTGCCACACTGTTCGATGCATCCGATGTGTTCACGAACCTGTGAGCTTGTTGAATCTGTTGCACCGTATCCCAAAACCTCCACGGAGGAGTTGAACCAGTGATGCCATAAGAGGTGCCCAAGAGGTGTCCCAGAGGCAAAACAAAGCTGCTTGCATGATTTGTTTGGTTTCTTCTATCGATGTCGATGTCATGAACATGTGAGCTTGTTGAATCTGTTGCACCGTATCCCGGAGGAGTTAAGCCAAAGTGGATGCCATAAGAGATGCCCGAGAGGTGTCCCAGAGGCGTCCGAGGGGGGAGTTGAACCCACGGGGGGTTGGGGGGCCCCCCTACATATGAAGTTTTCATGTGATGCGGCGATCCCGAGGATTCCAGCCCCTCACTTGCTAAAGCAAGGACAACTCCAGCTAGCTGGTGCTAGCTTTCGTGATAACCACCCGAAATGGGTTTTTCTGGGAGAGTGAAGTGGCCAAAGAGCGCCGGGGGAAGAGAGGCACCTGATGGCTGGGACCGTCCTCGGGTCAAAGGAAGGTGGATCCATCAATGACCCTCTGTGCGTCTTGATTTCATTGGAAACCCCAGGGCCGTTGACTTGATTCATGGCCGTTGACCCCATCCCAGTGGTGTGTTTTGAAACAAATCATTTCATAAGTACTTTGAGTTGAACATGCTTCAACTGCTTCAAGTGGACCCTTCGATTCACCGTTTCAGCGTTCCGGGTGCACCTAGTGTACACCGGTTTTCAATTAGGGAAGCCTGGATGGACCTACCCAGCTTCACTCCAAAATCCCGACCAGCTCAGAAAAAAAAAGAACCAACAAACCGCTCGGCCTTGGCTGCTCCTTGGGGGTTTGAGGGAAACCAGAGCAGAAGGACCGCCTTCCCCGCCGTCGCTCTCCCCTTCCACCCCGTTCTCTCGCCGGTCGCCGGTCGCGGTGTCCCTCGGGCCCCCCGGCGGCATCATGCCACCCATGGGCCGCATCCTCGGGGCGGAGCGTCGGGCAGACGGAGTGACGACCGAGGGTCGGAGCGGAGTCGTCGCCGGTCGGAACAAGCGGAGGAAAAGGATCGTGGACTCTACAGGTCACCACCTGCGACTCGAAAAGTCAGCAAAAGCCTCCAGGTCCTGAGACCTGTTTATCGTCGGGCGCTCAAATAGACGACGCGCTCGCCTTAACTGATCGGTGAGCCTGCCATGTCATGTGAGGGAGTGATTTCGACCTGCATGAGGTGAACCGGGATGGTGAGAGGTCTGGCTCTTGTGGTGATGCGATGTGAGCCATAGATCTTCTTGTAAAGAAACCATCGCAAGAGGAATAGGAAAGGTACCCCTACAAGTCCAAAGACCCAGTAAAGCCTGTGTTTGTTGCCTCTTTGAGTATATAGGGTTTTTGTATGACCTACTCCATGTCTTGCTGGGATGTTCCCAAGTTGCCATTTCGGTTCTGCTCCACGAGCGGGCATCCGCTTGCATTTGTTGGAGTCTAGCCTTGCCGGGCCTGGTCTGGTCGATGTGAAAGAAACACTGAAAAAAAATAGAGACAATGCTCACTTCTCGTGCGGAACCCATCTATTACCGGATTCGTAGTAAAGCCTCACCCGCACCATATTCATGCCTTCATCACTTCACCCAGATTCATGCCACCGCTCCCGCCATCATGCCGAAGGCACATCATCATTTGCCCCATGGGCATGGCTGGCATGCCTCCGCCCTTCCCCGGCATCATCTGTCCTTGGGTCCGAAAAGGGGCCCGGGCAGCACCGTTGGAGACCACGTTTGCGGAAGAAACCAGCGTGACCACGGGCATTGCGACCACCCCGTGGTGAAAACCATGGTGAAGACAAGCACCAAGGACCTAGTCGTGCTGCACGTGTGAAGGAATGATCCTGAGTCCAACCGAATTGACACACCCCCAAAAAGAGGCTCCATACCAGGACCTTCCAAGAGGTGTCTATAAATAGCCTCTTAGTGGTTGAGGGGTGTCCAAAAACCACCTGTTGGAAGGTCCTGGTATATCATATGGAGACGCACGCACGCACTGGCTACACGCGGGTACGGACTGTAAGTCCGTTCCGCTGCTATAGCTGACGGAACCCTTGCCGCGTGCGGTCCCTGTGGTCCGTGCCGACAGGAGGCCACCTTTGCCCATCATACCCATCCTCGGTCGGCCCGGGTGGACTGGCCGCGCGAGCGAGCGGTGGAGCCGGCGGGGCCCGGGCCCCGGCTGACGAAAGAGAGAGTGGAGCCCAACTCGAGTGCCCATGACATGGGTGTTTTCGTGGGGCCCATGACATAGGAAAGGCCCCGCTGCTCGGAAGTCTACCTCACGGTCCTTTGGAAGCAAGAGTTCGTTTTCCTCCTAGGCCTCCTTCTGAACACGGGCTGGGGCAGAGGACGGATGTTGGAGAGCCCGGGATGCACTAGCTAGCCCTGATGGGTCCAGTCATGACTCATTTTACCTTTATGGTAGTGGTGGATGGGCTGGCTACCAGGTGGAGTCGTTCATGCGTCGTCCGTTCTGGAAGTTCTCGGTCGTCGACTCACTGCGCGTCTCTCCCCCAAGCAACTCCCACCGACGGTGTGGCGATCCTCACCATCTTTCAAACCACCTGCCGTCTCACCTCCCCAAACGCTCCAAAAAGCGCACCTCTCCCACCACCCAAAACGCTCAAATCATCGGGTTCTCGGTGTTTGCCTCACGGTTCTTTTCCCAGCATAGTGGAGGGTGGGGCATTCAAAAAGGAACCGTCTGCATCAGAAGAAAAGAAACCCTGTGCATAAAAGAAAGATCTCGGTACAGTATGAGAAAAAGCACTATGAGCCTTTAAAAAAGACACCAGCAGCATCAGAAAAAGCACCCAGTGCCAAGAAGAAACACCCTCGATCTGAAAGCATATATATATATATCATGTCTGCATGAGAAAACAACAGTGCATTAAAAATAGAACACCCCGCCCAAATAATCCACGGAACACCCAACCAATATAAAGGAACACCGCGCATGTACAACGTGTGTCTCACGCGAAAAAAAGAGGGGTGACCAAACAAACCTGCGTTCTCCCTCTCTCTCCCCCCCTCTCTCTCTTTTTCTTTCTCTCTCTCTCTCTCTCTCTCTCTCTCTCTCTCAACCGGCCGTTTTCCAAGCCCAAGCCCACACCCGCCGTTGTTCCGCCGAAGACGCATGGGAGCCTTGGGCATCGCGCCTTTGCCTCGGCCGTTGTGGAAATGAATCCAGCACTGGCAGCAAACATCATTGCGCTCTTTTCGTGAGCCATCGCGAGAGCGAAAGTCGGGTGCAGTCTCATCAAGCTGGTCAGGTCCATGAGCAATCCGGGTCAGTGCATGACATGTTCATGGTTTCACCTTCGTTTTCACATTCGTCTTTCTTCTGACCTCGATCGCTCTTGGACCCTTGCAGCTCGATCTTCAAGGAAAGGCCGTTCATGGCCGCTCGGACGTCGCTTGCGTCCATGTGCTTCGTGAGGGCGTCGGCCAGCATCGTCTTCGTGCTGATCCACAGCACTCGGGTGCTGCCGTCTTGCGGCGGCTGGTCGCTGAACAGCGGGTCACCCACTTCCTCATGGCGTCGACGCCAGATCATCTGGCGCATCCCGCAAAGGTCGATTGCGAGCCTCTTGTCGTTCACCTCTCCGAGCCCTTGTTGCGTCAAGTGGTCGGACAAACTGCGACAGTCTGTCAGCTTGATCAGATCTGTCCCGTCCTGGGCTCTCATCCTCCAGTTGGGATCACCTTGGTCGTGGCCATGATGTAGTCCATCCAGGGTCATCCTCAGGTGCTCCCCGTCCTCATAGCCAGCCAGCATACTCAGGCTCTCAGCCTGAAGTGTGCTTCGACACACCCGTCGAATCACGGAGCTCTTCCATTCCAAGATGTGGATCGGGCCTCCACTCTTGTCAATGAAGTCTGGCCCACAGAAGGCCAGAATCCTCCCAGATTGGGAGCGAAAGCCAAGGCGCTGTCCAGTCGACGAGAGGTCATAGTCGTTGGCGTGGCTCGCGTCGGTGATGGAGAGGATCTTGAGCTCTTCAAACTTGAAGGGGCGCCACACGTAGGTCAGCCGCTGATCCTTGCTGAGTATCGCCCTCCTGAGCAGTGAGTTGCAGTCCACCAAATCTTGGACACAGGGCTTCTGGACACAGCTTTGTAGTCGGCTGGTGTCGTAGGCCAGATCAGGCCGGTTGACACGCACAATCCAGTTCAAGGAGCCAAGAACACTCCTCATCTGAGATTGCTCCTTGTGAGTGGCCTCTCCTCCTCGGTTGGCTTTCCTGGCTGTTGACAGGGCAATCGGTGTAGTCCTTTCAAGACCATGCGGGCATGTGACGTGGATGCCCTCGTCATCCTGTGAAATCATTCTGCCACAGAACTTGAAGGTGGTGTCGGCGGTACGGCCAAACTTCAGCTTCTTCTGAACGTTGTCCATGGCCTGCTGGGTGAGGTCTCCTCCACACCAGAGTAGGTCGTCCACATGGCTGATCACCAGTCCGTCCACAGAGCCGTCCGGCTTGTTCATCACATAGGCAGCATTTTCATGTGGAATGGGACGTAGTCCAAACTCCTTCATGGTGTTGTGGAGGCTCTTCCAAAATCCTCGTGGAGCATCTTTGGTGCCATAGACAGGCTTCCGTGCCACAAGCAGTGATCCGGGCGCCACTCCTGGGACGCCATCTTTTGGTAGGCTCATGATGAGCATTCTGGAAAGTCCAAGCCCTTGTAGGAACGCCGCAGTGATGTCTCCACTGTGTAGGCGTAGACCATTGCAGCTGGCGAAGGACAGAACCATGCTCAGCATCAAGTGAGATGCTGTCGGAGAGTCAGTGCGAACTCCTCCTTGGTGTGCCTGGTTTTCAAGATCTCCACGGACAACCAGGCGGCTCTTCAGTTGTTCTTCTTCTCCTTCATCCGCCTTGTTGACATCTACCCATCTCATGGGTACCACTTGTGCTCGAGGATGCTTCTTGCGGAAACGATCAGCATCTTGAGGTGGGATCACCTCGCAAGCATCGAAGTTGGTCCAGTTGGTCCATTCCTTGTGCCTGGTTTGATCAAGCTTTGCCTGCATCTCTGGTGAGGCCTTGGAGTAGTTGATCTCCTTGCTGCCGGCACTCTTCTTCTTGTAGCTGGTGCGCCGGGCCAAGAATCCTCGCAGGCAGGTCGATTGTATCTTCTGGCGGCGGTTCTGCGTAGCATAAAAGGTTCTCGGCGGTGTCCTTGACCGTTGTCTCGAAGATGAACTGGATGTAGGATGTCCATCAAGTCCTTCCAGTGATCTCCACATAGATCGCTGCAGTGGTGTAGGCGTAGTCGTGGTGGTTGGTGTGCCTTCAGTTGTTGCTCTTGTTCGCTTGCAATCCGGTTCGATGTCTGGCTCCTCCACGGATGAATGTCGTGGTAGGTCTCCAAGTTCATTCATGGCCTCTTGAAATTCATCGAACTCGACCTCTTGGTCATCATCAGGTACTTAGTCCTGGAGGTTCTTCTGGACCTTCGGCTGGTACAGGAACAGCAGCTACCTCTTCCAGAGTGAGTGGGTCTGCCGGTAGTCCAGGTGGTGGTTCAGGATGTTCATCTCCAGGTGGTGTTGATGTTGCCACCGCTGGTGCTGAAGACATTCCTTGTTCAGGTTCTTCTCCTGGTTCTGATGCTCCTGGAGCTGGGTGATCTTGATGTCCAACATGATCTCCTCCGGGGCGTCCCACATCCAGGTAGGAGTCCTGATTCTCCTCGTCAGACTGATTGGCCATCAGGTCATCGGCGAAGGGAACTTCATCTTCATGGTCCTGTAGGATCTGCCGCTTCCTCTTGCGTGATGGTCGAAGTTCCAGGAGTTGTTTCGCCACAACTTCTCCTTGAAGAGCTGGTCGACATGATTCCTCATTGACGGTGATGGGAACTCCACCATGGATCAACCAAAGGTTGCTGCGGCCTTCTCGTCCAATGACCCGTGCTGGTCCATACCAGCGTCCAACTCTAAAGAAGCATACCAGATCTCCTGGTACATAGGGTCCACGAAGTGGCGTAGATCTCCGCAGCAATGAAGTCCTGATGCGGCGGCTGCTGTCGGCGTACTCAAAAGCTTCCTTGGCTGCCTGTCGGATGTTCAGTTGTTGTGCGAACTCGGTTTCTCCCGTGACCATTTCTTCATGAACTCCAAGACGGTTGGGTGCTTGTTCAACTGTCAGACTGGTCACGTCATCTGGCAGCTTGCCCATGACCCATTGAGTTGGGCTGAAACCTGCATGGTTCACACGACAGTTCTTCACGAAGGTGGATTCCATCACAGCCATTCGCATCCCTGAGATGCCGACGATATGTCGTGCTGCCACCGTGTTCTTGATGATCTCCTTCAGAAGTGAACCTTGACGTTCTGCTCGACCGATTTGATGATGCGCCTCCGTGCCAGCGTAGCGGATGTAGACCCCCTGTGCAGACATGAGAGCAGCAACTTGTCCACGGTTGGCCACTCCATCGACAGTCAGGTACTTTGGGGGGCCAAAGTGGGTGAACCTGGGAGTTCCGCCCTTGTCGGAAAGGATCCAGGCGCTGTGGTACAGTGCCCATGTCGATGATGGAGAGAACGGTGTACCTATTGCCAAGTCCATCTCTCACCTCAAAAGCATCCGAGGTGATCTCGAAGTTGAAGGTGTATGGACTTGGTGGTCGGACAACAGGTCGTGGCTGTGGCTTCTTATGGTGCTGGCATGTCTCGCATTTGAAGTACTTCACCTTGTTGATGACTTCTGGAGCTGCTCGAGCGACACGGAGCATGCGAGCCATAGCACCAATGCTTGAATGCCCAGTCATTTGATGTAGTCGTCGTAGAGCGACTCGTTGGGCATAGGGTAGGCTAAGCCACTGCTTCTTTCGCACACGATCTCCTTCTGTGGTTCCAGGTTCTCCTTCACGATCTTCTTCGCCTCTCAAATCATCTTCTTCAGCTCGGTGTGGTAGCGGAGGATTTGGTGCCAGGTCCTGCTCATCGTAGATCTTGTCCAAGGTGCCCAAGGGGTTGTCCTCCATGACAGCTTCAGCTGGAAATGCCACCTTGGTAATGGTACCTTCAAGATCACAAAGAATCCCTTGCAGGATTCCTTCACAAAAGGGACGTGGCCATTCTTGGGCTCGTTTTGCGCGGTTTGATCCCTCGAGAGCTTGGTGTTGGTGATCTCCAGGCCATAGTTGTGACATGTTCTCCTTGATGCCCAAACTGGCGGTCATCAGTCCAGTAGGCTTCTTGTTGGGCATACCATTATCTCAGTCCTTGAGACCGTAAGCACATTGGTCACATTTGATCACCTCCACGATCTCGCCCGTCATAGGGTCAGTGATGTGGTCCTGTAGAACTCGAAGAAGAGCAAGCGAGTCCCACATCTTTGACAGCCATGGTTGCTCCAGCAACACTTGCCGCCCTTTTGCCACTCGGCTTCGGATCACCTGCGAGATCCACTTTACCACCGGGTACCATTCCTTCCTCTGCTCCATGATCTTGTTCGCAGTCTCCTCAGTCTTGCTCATATTGAGCTCTTGCCACTGGCACCAGGGGCCACAGAGCGGCGACATGGAGATGAGGTACGGGTCGTCCTTCTCGATCTGCTGGTCAATCATGTCCCGGTGTTCCTTCTTCCGCAGGTCGGTGCCGTCATACAAAATGTCGACGGGCTGTGAAACAGGGTATCCCATCTCGGAAGCCATGTGAGACAGGATGGCTGCTCCGGCAAAGATCTCCAGTAGCAGCGTGCGGCAGCCTCGAGGCATCAAACGAGGTCTTACGCTTTTGTGTGAGGATCGTAGCAATCCCCACATGTGCTGGTCCCTCTCCTTCACGTCCTGCACATCCTTCTTGAACTGCTTCTTCTGGCCCTTGGTGAAGACGCGCTTGTGCTGATGCATCTCATCCACGGCCATGTGGGTCTCATTGACCAGTTGGATGTCTTCCTCTGGTGGTGGTTCCTCTTGCTCATAGGTCATGTTGTGCTCCTTCTCAAGGTTCTCGGTGTCCTCGAAGTGCTCGGCCACCAGGCCAAGATATCCGGGAATGAGCCGGATTGCCAGAAGTCCATTGCGAGCCACCAAACAAAGATCACTTCCAAGTACGGTGGAGTGTACATTTTGGTGGTTGAGGTCGATCACAAAGCCAAGCTGCTTCTGGCTCTCCACGCTGAGCAAGAGTGGTGCATCGGAGGAGGCAATCTCCAAGGATACCAAAGTTCCTCGGGCAAAATCTCCATTCTTCATCTCGAAGCTCACCTCGAACTCACGTTTTCCGATCAGCTTCATCTGGCCGCCAATTCCCTTCATACCAGGTCCAGAGCATGGCTGTAGTGGAGGTTCAGGTGCTCCAGTGGCCTTGAGGTATTGTTTCAACCATTCACTTCCATGACATGTTGCATTGCAGCCAGTGTCCAGGATGGCCACCAAGTTGTCTTCGCTGCCACATTCTCGGTGATGTTGCGCCATGTAGCCATAGTGAGTCGTCTCTGGAATGGCAGCTCCATAACGATCGCGTCCTCCAGCCTGCATGTCCTGGAAGTACTGGGCCAGACGGATCATAGCCTTGGAAGGTTTTCCCGTTTTGACTTCGTCCAAAAGCCAGCGGACATACCCTTGATCATTCCAAGCTTCATACTGGGTTTGTCCTTTGTAGAGGCCAAAGCTGATGGTGCGACGGCCTTCTTGCTGTAGTGAATGAGCATGTGCTGGCGGAGTGGATGGGTCCGGTGTAGGCGGATCGGTCCAAATAGCCTGTGATGTCGGTGTCCTGGTAGGCAATGACGGAGTCTGAGTTCCCGAGCCTGCCGGTTCCATAGGAGTGTAGTCCTGACCTTCTTGTGCTGGTCGGCCGAGGACGATGTTCTCACACATCCGGAGAAGGTCAGCCAATTCGTGATCGGTGAGAGTGAATCCTTCTCCTTGTCCTTCTGACTTGAGGTCCAGGGAGTGGTTGAAGAGTCCACGAACACGAAGAATCTCCTCGGAAGTCATCTTCCGGCTTGAGGTTGTCGGCCGGGTCGTCGAAGAGGTCTCATTGGAGGCCGTTGACGGTGACGATCCCTTGCCGGAATTCTTTCCTCCATTCACAGGGCCGCTGCGGACTTCTCCACATTGAAGACATGTGCGCTTCCAGCGAAAGCCATTTGTGCCATGCCAACTCACTCGATGATGGTTGCATCCTGGAGCCTGGGATGTCTCCGAGGTCATAGACCGAGAATCAGCTGATCCCACAGGGGTGCGCTCCAAGATAGTGCCACAATCTTTACACTTCTTGATCTTGTAGAAGGCGTTGGATCCCTGTCCGGTCACGTTGTAGTGAAGGCATGCTGGCTTCTTGTTCGTCGGCTTAGTCTGTGCCGATGCTGGCGAGACCTGTGATGGTGAGGTCTCATGGCTGGTCCACTGAACTGGTTTTCGATGTGGTCGAGGATCGGGTTCTTGTGGTCGTGCTGCACGCGCTTGAACTACAGCAGGTGGTTCCGATGGGGTAGTCGAGGAAGTTGGGTCTTCAATGGACAGAACTTCTCCTCGGTCTTCTCGATATTCAGATACTCCCAAAGCAGAAACCAGCATCATCATGTCAAGGTCCTCCTGTGACACTGATTGTCCTTCTCGCACGTGGGATGATGCGACCAAAGACCATTTGTCCTCCTCCTCAGGTGAACTCACAATCTCGCCCTGCTGCAACTCTGTGGGAGGCGGTACTGCTCCAAAGATGTTGAAGGGTCTGCGGTAGGCCATAAGAGCGGTTTGCTCCTCGGCGGTCTCATTCTCCCGAACAGCGAAGAACACAGTGCGAGGCTTCGCATCTCCAGATCCTTTGCCCTTTCCAGAACCCTTAGGCGATTTGCCTTTCCCTTTGCTTTTCGGGCAGCTAGCATCTCCACTCCAATGTCCCACCTGTCCGCATCGTCGACAAGTGGTGCGGGACTTCAGGTTCTGAATCTTCTGTTGCCGTTCCTGGAGTGTCAACTGTCCTGAGACATCAAATGCTCGGTTGGCGTCATCGAGGAAAAGGAGGTGGACATGGAATGGGCTACTTCTCTGAAGAGTACCCAGCCGAGGAGTATGAGCACGACCCGTATGACGACCTCAACGCCTACCAGTCCGAGCAACCGCACTACGCCTATGAGGAGAACTACGACTGGCAGGATAACGACCTCGGCGAGGAGATGGATGAAGGGACACTTCTGTCCATGTTGGCCGATCAAGGACTTGATCTGAACGATGAGGAAGCCATGGAATATGCGGCCGACATCATCCAGGCTGAACAGGAAGCCTACTTTGCACGTGAACGTGCCAAGGAGAAGGGCATCAAGGGCTTCCACAACAAAGGAAAAGGAAAATCCTCTGGTTCCAGCGGCCGAGCCTTTTGGCCGTTCAAAGCCAATGCTGCGCCCTCGATGTTCTCGTTCGTGCAATCGAGAGTGCTGGGCGATGAGCTCGGACTGGATGCCGGCCATGGTGATCTTTCCACCCAAAGCTGATCTGATCAGCAGGACCTGTTGGTCAGTCAGGCCTGCATTGACCAGAACTTGTTCAGCCAAGATCACTTCCGGCAACTTCAGCTCCTTGTCCAGGTCAGTCAAAACCTGGTACCAGGCCTGTCGACGGACCAAGTAGGTCGACATCGGCTCGGTGGCTTGGCGGCTAAGGATGCCGCCCTCACGGGCGCCGGCCGCGTAGAGCTCGCGTGCCTCTTGTGCCCTCCTTGGCTTCAATGAAGTAGCAAGGGCATCGAGCAGCTTTTCCGCGCCCTCCTTGCTGGCGAGAACAGCGTGAGGCATCTGCTGGGCGACACGTAGAGCGGGGCCTGAGAGCTGCTCCACTAGGCGGAGCCCCAGTGGTCCTTGTTTCTTCACCTTGCTAGGATCCATCTCAGCCTCTCGTGCCATGCGGGCACGAACCCGCCAGGTGTATTCACCTAACCTGGTCGCTTCTCCATTGAAGCGTGGGATGCCACCAGCATTCTTGCCCTCGGTGCTGTTCTGCATCTCCTCCTCCTTGATGAAGTTGACATACCTGAAGGTGTCAAGAAGCGCCATGGGTGAGCACAGCGCGCAAACCGTGGCCGCTAGGGCCGTGACGAAAAGGGTCGGGACCGGGGTCCCTGGGAGCCTTGGTAGCTCCGCTACCAGTGTGGAAATGAATCCAGCACTGGCAGCAAACATCATTGCGCTCTTTTCTTGAGCCATCGCGAGAGCGAAAGTCGGGTGCAGTCTCATCAAGCTGGTCAGGTCCATGAGCAATCCGGGTCAGTGCATGACATGTTCATGGTTTCACCTTCGTTTTCACAGCCGTGGCACGTCTACCGTCGGTCGGCACCGTCGGTCTGCAGACGGTTCAATCGACGGAGCGGGACGGAGGTGTGGAGGAACCCGTGGGAGGAAGCTTCGGCTCTGAAAAAACTCTCCAGAAGCTTCGGCGAAAGTCCCCCCGTTTTTTCGGGCGAAACCAGGTGGCCCAGACCCTTGGTGGGGGGGAAGGGGCGGCTCCACCAAGAATCACCCGTCCAAAGCTGGTAGGAGTACACCTGAGTAGCGCGGCGTAAGCACGGCGAGGCAGGCTTCCACGTTTGAAAGCACTTAAAGATAAAATCAAGATAACATTTACCAGCACCACGGAAAGGGTGTCCATTAATAGCCCCTTGGAAGTCAAGGGGTGTGCATTAACCACCCCGACTGGGGGTCCAGGTAAAAGAAAAACCGAACGAAAGCTCCATCCTGCACTCCAAACGAATCTCATCCCGCATCTCTCAGAGAACAGAAACTCACAGAGGCACTTCCGTGTCTCGCCCTCCAGCCCAACCATTTCCCTGTCAGCCAGCGTTAAAAACGAAGACTTCCAGGACCTTCAAACCCAGACGCTCCAAACAGGCCTTGGTCCCTCAAAACCATACCTCCTTATGAGGGTACGGCCCCTACTTAGCAGGGTCCAGGATCGCGTCTGGGAAGGGACCTTTTGATATCCAGGATGGGGTCACTCAGGCCAATAAAAGGTCACTTACAGACTCCAAAGTGGTCACTTAGAAGCTCCTGCCGAGGTGCCACCCATCATCGGGGGCATCATGCCCATCATGGGAGGCCTCATCATGCCCATCGGCCCCATCATCGCCTGGCCGCGCCCGGGAACGACCACACCGGAGCCGCTGGGGGGTCGGGGGTCGTTTTCTCCACCGGACCAAGGAGCCGACCCCGGCCGCACCGGAGCGCCCTGCCCGGCAGTCGGTCGAAGGTGGGACACCTCCCCCCCCCCGGCCTGTTGTGGCATCATGCCCATCATGCCTTCGACGGGGTCGGGGCCGTACGCTCTTTCGGCGGTTCGAGGCGGCGGACTGGTCGATCGTGCTCGTGCCCGGCGTCGAGCGCGGCGGGTTCACTGCAGGAGTTGTCCAAGAAGAATCGTGCCAAATGGTGATGTCGTTCCAACACCAAAAAGATATACCATCATACGCGCATGGATCATGCAAGTTTTCCCTCCAGAGGCCAGAGGGAACATTAACCTTTTGTGCTCACTGCACAATCTCTAAGTCTTTCTCACCCTGCCAGAGTGTCATGCTACTCTTTCGTTAGGATTTGTTGCACTTCATCAACTGTGCTGCAAACCAGGGGACGCCAAACGACTTCTGCCTCCCCACACCAAAACCGGCAAAAGCACCGCTGGCCGCGGCTGGCTGCAGCCAAGCCGCCCATGTTGGGGTTGCCACCTTTGCCACCCTTGTCACCCTGCGCGGGGGAGGTGTCTGGGGTCTGGCTCTCAGTGTCTCTCTAGGTCTGGTGGGTGTGGAAAGCACCACATCAGCAGAACCTCGAGAGAGAGAGAGAGAGAGACTCCAATCAACCAGAACCCTAGCCCTAGACTTCCAACCACCATTAAATTAATAGCCTTTACCAAACCAGCTAAGGATTTTACACTCAGAAACCCGGTCAACCCATTTTTTAATGGTTTTGCAAGTCTAGGAAGAACATTGTTGTCTAGGTGGTCTAATCTGAAAAGGGGATCTGCCAATAGCAATCAGAGGTTCGTTTTGTCTAGGAATGTCCACTGTTCTTGATGCCAACTTCAGTGATATCGAAGGATGTGGTTGGGATTGATTTCGGCGGCCGGCACAGTTTGTCGAAGGCAGTGCACTCTCTTGTATTGCGGAAGCATCTGGGTCGCACGAGATTGAAACAAACGAACGCTAATTACTCCTGAAAGATCCTGCTTCTTGGCACAAAGACTGTATATTTGGAAGAAGGATGTTGACAACAACTTCAGTGAGATCATGTGGGATCTAAACTAAAATATATGTCTACATTTCACATGCATGGCCACGATCTGTAAAAGGTAGGGCAGTAGGCCAGTAACCTGAGATGTGTATGTTGATGCCTTTTGTGTGCGCACTGCGAATCAGCATACGAAAGGCGCTTTCCTGCACGATCGAAGAACACAGCTTCACCTCTTCACGTGTGCTTTGCGCGTGCGGCGTGTGTGGTGTTTGTTTCAACAGTTCTGCTCAGAACGGTCCCATCCGAAAGTCCATTCTGCAGAACAGGAGCTTCCCGGTCTGAAACGAACGTCTATGCGGAGTCCGTTGCTCTGATTGGTCATTTTCAGTCTGATTGGTCACGTCACAAGTCCTGAGGGGTCAGGTCTCCACTGCTTGTTCTTCTCACTCCCTGGGGGATCCACGTCGGCACCGGCGTTCCGCGGAAGGTCGCAGGTCGCGGAAAGGGGTCCGGTCCGGTCCGCCAACGCCCGAAGCTTCCACAGGTGCCACGTCATCCAACAGAGGTGGAAGGACCCGACACTTCGACTATCCCAGGAACCGGTACCCCAGGTTTTCCGGGTCCTATGAAACCGGTCACTGGATTCCTCTCTTGGATCCCAGTCATGATTTCGCTCCACGTCATCACAAGACCCCGCCTTGCCGCCCTTGTCGCCCTGGCACGGCTCGAGGCGCTGTGGGTGCGTCTGGTCGCTTCGGGGGTCTGGTCGACCGACTCCGAGCTCCGCCGACTTCCGAGCTAAGCGACGGTAGTACCTTTGTGCCGTCCCAGCGGGTCGGTCGGAGGGTCAGGCGGGTTTTCGGATGGATTCCCGGCAGGTCTTTCTTCAGGTCTTTCTTCGATGTCTTCTCCCTCGAAAAGCCCTCCGAAAAGCACGTCCAAAGCAGTTCGAAATGCGAGAGATGTCCAAGGTCGGGAAGGTTGGGGGGAAAGCTCGGATCGGTCGGGCCATGTCGTGACCAAGCGGCCCAAGATCCTCACGACCCATGGGACTGCCAGACGGACTGCCGAGTGGCACGGCCAGGGGTGGTAGACTGGGGGTCCATTGATTGGCATATGTGGCAGTCCCATGGAGTGTCTGGGTCATACCTGAACCTTTGCTATCCAGGACCCCCCCCAGTCGGGGTGGTGAATGGGTGTCCCCCAAATCACCGAAGTCTTCTGGGGTGATGAATGGACACCAAATCCGTGCTGCTGGTTGCTATCTGATCAAATCCTTCTGTTCGCATCCCTCGAGCTTGGAAGACCTCCAAAAACCTCGCCCTCTGCGCCGGGAGGACCCGTGCCTTGCCGCCCTTGCCAAACGGCATCCTCGGCCGGAGCGCAAAAAAAAGCGGCGCGACCGACTTGAGACGTGGACAGGTTTGGAATGCACCCAAACCAAAACGGCTTGAGGATCCACACAGGTTCGGACAGCTTCCTGAACATAAACCCAAACACTCCATGTATGCCATATATGCCTACATTGGGATGGTTTGGGGGGTCAATGTAGGCATATATGGCATACATGGAGTGTTTGGGAAAGATGAAAAAAAACAAGATGAAGATCTCTGATCGCCGCAGCCTATATGACTCAAGAGCTTTACCTCTCCCACTTTGGGCCGGCCCATCAAGGAACTCTGACGAACAACGACGTGCGCGCCTTCAGACCCGGCGCGAGACCGAAGCTCCTCTCACCAGTGACCTTCTTAAGTCCTAGACCGATCACCTTTCCCACCCAACACGTCTCCCCGGCTTAGCTTCAAGGCGCGAATAGCGCTGGCGCAGGTGTGCCTGGCGGGCCTCGCGCTTCTCGGCCAGGCCCACGTACAAGGGCTTGCCCTTGACGACCTCTCCGTTCCGCTCCAACGAGTTCCAACGGTGCGCGAAGGGAGCGAGCGAAGGGCCGGCTGCCAATGCTTGATGATGGTCGCACTTCGGTGCATATGTCCAGTTATGTTCATATACCAGGAGTCACAAAGGAGTGGGTTTTTAGTCCCCAAGTGAGTGGATAGTGGGCACCCCTAACCTCCATTAAGCACCCCTTTGTGACTGCAGGTAGTATGTTCTAATCACCAAAGCGGCCCAAGGGTGCTCAAATGTGGTTTGTCCGTTGAAATAAAACCAAGCTCTTCCGCAAATACTCCCCACTTACCTCCATCCACCTCCATTTTCCTCCTCCATGGGACTGCCTATGAAACTCTCCCTCCAGGACCCACAACGCGGTGCACCACGCGCCTTGAGGTGCATCTCGGTGACAGCCTTGGTGGCATCGTCCTGCTCCTCGAAGCACACGAAGCCGAAGCCCTGGGCGGGACGATGGGGGGAATGGGCGCGAAGCGGGCGGGGAACGGGCGCGAAGAGAACGGAGGGGAGCACGCTCCGTTCTCACGGGTGGGAGGGAAAGAAGAGGAACCGACGCTCCGCTCCGTTCACAGCTCCTGGTCCCTCCAAACCCGGGATTGGTTCGGGTCCGGCCCCCGTCTGGGGGTTTAAAGTTCCGAAGGTGTGGTGCTTGGTGGGGGTCCTATATACCGAGATCTTCCAACTATGCAATATGTATGCCTTTTAGTGTGTAAAACCAGCCAAAAGGCATACATTTTGCATAGTTGGAAAATCTAGTCTATGTGATCCTAAATACAGATGTTAAAAGCCTCCGATGTCGTCGATGTCGTGTGGGGAAATCAGAAGGGGAAGTGTCTGGCATGGCATGAGACATCTGGAGACGTCTGGAGACGTCTGTTGCGGCTGTTGAATTCGGTAGGATCAGCCGGCCTGTACCCGGATGGCCAAAAGCCAATGGAAGAAAAAGGATCAGCCAGGTCATGTAGACTCTTGATGAATAACCCACCCCATTGGGAATGAAAAACCTCTTCCTAAGGGGTGGTTTATTGTATTAATCAAGAGTCAGCCAGTCAGCCAGGTATCTTGCCACTGGCTGCTCCATGACTCCATGGGCAAGATCTTGTAGATCCAACAAATCTATCTGCCACGAGAAGTGTTACCAGGAGGTGCAATAAAAACAAGTCCTTCTTCCACAGTAACCCGATCTGAATCACTTCCCGATTCGCTTTGGAAGCCGGGATTTCTTCGCCCGAATTCGCTCCGAGCTGAGCCGGTTCCAAACCCACCACAAGCGCTTGATCCTATCGCGCCAGCGCGTCCCTCATGGCGGGACCTCCTCCCACATCCTCGGAGTCGGGGGTGTGAGCTCCCCGCTTCCCCGCTCTCTTCCGCCGCTACCATTCGACCGCCCACCGACGTCGGCATCGTCGTCTCGACCCACCTTGCACTTGCCGTTGGAGTCCAAGGGCACCGCCGCCGAGGTGATCTTCCCGAAGGGCTCGAAGAGCTCCTGCCGTTCCAAGAGCGCGGTGGGCGGGGGGGGAAAGAAAGAATCAACCGCACGCCGAAAAGAAAAAGATCTTTCTTACATATGTCTTTCATTGGGAAACACGCCAACTGGACAGGATGTCCGTGCTTCTACCGAAAAAGACCGCCAGGATCTGGCACACATGCAGGATCCGGCAAGGATCTGGCAATGAAACAACGCTCACCAGGAGCTTCTAAGTGATCACTTTGGAGTCTGTAAGTGACGGGCCTAAGTGACCTCATCCTGGGAGATTCAAGTTCGGTCCCTTTGAAGGTCCTGGAAGTTTGATCGCTTCATCTTCGGTCTCTCAAGTCAAGCTCTCAAGTTGAGCCACCATCGGGGACTCTTCTCCAAACCAGGAGGGTGACGATGTCTGGATGATGGACTCACCTGAAACCCGGTCTGTCCTTCAAGCCAGCTTCGTCGATGCTCTCGTCCAGGTTCCTTGGATGCGCCGGTCTGACCCATCAAGCAACCCATCAAGCCACAGATTGGATTGTTGAGTCACGCTTCAGAAGTCAAAAAGGGTATCTGGCATGACTCATATCTCTACAGTATATCTCCTTTCAAAAGGCCTTAAAATGGTGTTTGTCGATTTTGGGACCTTCGTGTTGGGAAGCATGATCTCAATTCTCAACCTGATCCATGAAACATTATCCTTCCCACGACCCCCACGACCCCGGAGTGCTTAAAAAACACACCTGCTGCGGAGGTTGAACTTACTGACAGGCCGCAACGAATTGGACGTTCCACAGGAAAAGGAAGGCCGGACGTTTCAGACCGAGGGGCTTCACGTAGAGGTTCACGTTTTGTCCGAAGCGGCCTCCAGCCTTCGTTGGCGCGGTTTCATGCCCTCTCGTGGGCCAAGTGCCTGTTTGACACCAGGTGTTTTCTCACGCGAGGTGCAATCGCTTCAAGGATTTGTGTGCCGTGCAGTGCATGTGCATGTCTTCCTAGGACCCACAGTCGGGGTGGTTCATGGACACCCCTTATATAACCTCCTTTCGGGGCTATCAAGTCCGACACCCCTGGTCCGGGTGTCCTGGTCTAGAAGTTTCACAAAGCCCCAGTATTGCCATGAAGCTGTGCAACGTGTGTCTCCCAACAGGACCGTGTGTCTCGGCTCACCCAACAAGCAAGCGAGCAAGCGAGCGGTGCAACGATCTGAAAGCAAGCGGTGTCATGTCCGTGTCATGGCTCGCCCATGTCCGTTATCCTTTACTTAACGACTCATGACGTCGAGCACAAACGCACTCGACGTCAGCAGACCCCTTCTGGAGTGTGCACGTGTGGATGTAACAGGATGTAAGTCATTCACGTATACAGTGAACCAGGTTCCTGTGACAGCAACAGGCAAGCGGCACATGTGGAATCTGCATGTGAGAGATGCTTTGATGTGGAATGTGATTCGTCAGGCTGTTCTTCGATGTGATTCACAAATGGATTCGGATTCGGATTCCGGGGGTTTGCCCCTACCTGTGATTGATGGCCTCAGCATCGAAGAACCCTCAATTCGCCCACTGTTCGTGGCGAAAAGGACGAAGCCCCTCCGAGCAACCTAAGAGCTGCTTACTAGGACCCACAAGGGGTGGTCAATGGACACCCCTTAACAGCTAAGGTGCTTTTAATAGACACCCCTTAGGGTGTCCTGGTATATAGAAGGCCATATAATACAACTATATGAGAACTACACACCAGCCGTTCCTATGTCGGAGTGGTTCCGAACGAACGAACGGAAGTCAGGAAGCGGGGCAACACCCACGAACCACCGAAAAAACCCTCCACACGAGCCACGTCCGAATCGCAACACCAACTGCTCCGAGCCACGTCCATGTTCGCGAACTTGGAGCGCAGCTCGGCCTGGCGGTTCGTACGAACGCCGCATGGGCAGGTGGAAACCTGCGGGGGGGCGGCAAAAGACCTCAATGGAAACCTGCGAAATTCCGCAGCTGGGCTCCAGGATCGAAGCCAAGAATCGAAACCATCGGTGGGAGTCCCAGATTGTACAGTCAACCTTTCTCCTTTGAAACGTGATATGTCGTGGTCTTCTCTTGAAACCTCTCACAAGGTCCTTCGAAAGAGAATGCCACGAATCGTGTGGCAGAGCCTTTGGGCCATGGGGAGTCTAAAATGATACCCTGCCTACAGGTCAATGACCTCATTTTACTGGAGTCGGTCACACAAAAAAACACTATATAAAGGAGTCAAGACCAGGTTTGATTGAGTCAGACTTGGACGAACGGAACCTAGAGGTGAAGGGGTGTGTTTTTTCACTCACCGGGTCAAAAGACCCGACGTCAGACTGGACCCAGACTGGACTTGTTTGGAACATCGATCGCCCCAGGGCCCAGTCAGACGTGCTCCGTCCAAGTCCTCGGAGCCGAGACCCATGCGGCCTGACGTTCGGCCTTCGTCTGGGCGCGTTGGCAATAGATCCTCGGCGCCGAGGAACTCGGTTCACCGGAGAAGGAACTCGGCATCCGAGGCGCATGAGGAGCCGTCCAAACCTGGAAGAATCTACACTCTTAGAATCTTTGAACTTGCGGCTTGCTACCAGTATATAGCTCAACAGGTCTACTATTTCTTAGGGAATCGCCCACCCGCCGGCGCACCCGCGGTCGTCCGCCATGCTCGCGTGGCGCTCGGCCGAGTCGCTTGTTCTCGGGGTGCCCATCGGGGCCCAACTTCTCCTCGCCCTCGTCTTGGCCATTGGGCTGGCAGGCGCGGCGGCGCTGGGCTGCTTGGACGGTGGCTTGGACGGTGGGTGATGGGGGAGTGATGTGGATGAGGTGATCGAATGGAAAGGTGCTCGTCATTTGGGCAAAATGCTGGAGCTGTGCAACAACTAGAGAAACATAGAGAAACTATGAGAAACTATAGTCGTTTTCCAGGAGATTGGATGGGAGATCCTAAGAACGTTCATCCCAAAATACAGAATTAGCACTTCAAAACCCATCTCACTCCCATCAAGTGATCGGATGTCTCCTCGAGTTTTGCTTTATCTCTCAAACAAGCTTTATGGACCCTCAGATACATCTGTGAAGTGGTCGGCAGACATGTCCACTCCTTCTATGTCCACTCCTTCCATGTCCATGGAGAGGACTCTTGATGGAGGAAGTCCTGTACCAGGACTACACAATCTTGAGACAAGTGTAAACCCTAGAAGTCCAGTTCGACGATATTTTTGACCGCCTGAAGGAAACTCCTAGACTCAGGTCACTGAGTAAGACCATTCTTTTTGTAGGATCATCATGACTTCCAGGCTTAACATGGTCTCAAAAACATCGGGCACTTCTCTTTGAGGCACGTCACATCACTTGAGTTGCAGGGACCCTTACACTGCATAACGCCGCCTGCAGCCATATATAAAATAGACCTCCATCCACTGAGGGAGGTCCATCCAGCATGGATTCCTCCCCAAATCCACCAAGTCACCCGAAACGCAGCTTCCCAACGGAGCGGCTTCGGGTGAGCTTCCAAACCGGGGTGAACGGAGCGAGCCCACGGGTGGTCATCGGTTCATCGCATCTTTCGGAGCGTTGCCACAGGTATAATACAGGTGGTCTTTGGGACACCCGGAATCACCTCTCTGGTCGGCGACGACCAGTGGTCTTTCTCTAAGGGAAGGCTCCTAGGCACGACCCGTCGTGTTGTACGCGTTGTTCGATTGTTCGGAATGTATCATCTTCTGTCTCCTCCAGGCTGTCGTGGATGGCGCCTGGCCCCGAAAGGATGGCTATCCTCATAGCAAACAGGTGGGTGAAGTCCCACGTAACCATGATGATTTCATCTGATTTCAGGGAGTTTTGACCTCCCAAGTCTTTCTTGTTCTCCACTTCCACCCACCCACCCACCCACCTTCATGTGCATCTCGGCCACTGCTTGCTTGGCAGACTGCGGTTCCGGTGCCCGCGTGAGGACGACAGGACGTCCACCGCGACTGGGTCGCCAACCGATCCGCCGGAGTCTGTTCGACTCTGACGGTACCGCAGGTGAGACACGGGTCACTTAAGAGACCTCCGCGTAACCAAGCGACCCCCCCCCCCGAACGCCGTCCACCGCCGTCCACCGAAGCCGGAATCCTAGCTCTGTGGAAGCACAGTTCTGTGGAAGACCAGTTCTGTGGAAGACCACCTTTGAATCTGTGGAGTCTCATTTGTCCAACTTGTTGGACCCAATCGTTTGGAAGACGAACGGTGAATGGAAGCGCCGTGGATTTCAAGCCCAAAAGTTCGTCCTTCAAATCGGCTCATTCGCGAGCTTGAGTTGGTGTAATGCAGAGCTGTTTGTTGATTCAATCATTAGACCCCACCATGTTATGGAGATGCTTTACCATTTGACCTATTCCAAGATTATCCAAGTACAGTATATATATATATATGTGCAATATACGGATCATCCTGTCTCCAATGGACTACCCTAAACCCTAAACCCATTGATCTTCCTCCTCAACCGTCGTCCGTGCCCATGAAAACCTCCTCGCGTCCTTTCCGCCCCCAACCCGCGCTCCGTGCCCCCCCTCTCCTCGGTGCTTTCATAGGCCACGAAGGCAAAGGCCCGGCCCTTGTTGTCCTGGTCCCGCGTGGCGCTCCGATGCGCCGCTCCGATTCGCCCAAGCGAATAAGGTAACTGGGCGGTTTGGGGGAGGGGGGAGAAGAAAAGGGACACCTGCAACTAGCAAGTCGGGAAAGTATGGGAAAGTGGTGATGTGTGTTAAGTTTTATGTAGGGGTCCATCCACCACAGTCATCGCAGATCGAAGGAATTTGGGGATGAGGAGGATAATGAGGAGCATCTTTGGAGAGCGATATGAGGCTGAATGTGCTTTGATGTTCCAGCAGCTTTCAGAGCGATGAACAGCTTTCAGAGCGATGAAAAATTCCAACTGTGCAGAATGTCTGTCTTTTCATCCATAAAACTGGTGACCACCCCCTGTTGCCGACAGGGCAAGGCAACAATGGGCTGAGCCGTCCTTGCGAAGAGCATGGGAGGAGATGACGCCGTACTCACCTGGAGCGACGGTCGACGGTGAAAAAATAAGACAAACAGCTGGACTTGGACCTGCAAATCGTGAAAACCATGTCAAACGGCTGGACTCCATTGACTAATTGATTCACATTGGTAATACAACGTATACAATATATATCAATTTATGTGTGTTTCTATACTTACCTTCACTCTGGGAACTCCCTTCATCATGGCTTCCGTCTATCCATCCCCGGAATCCATTCGAGCGCGGTTTCCCCGCCCACCGCGCGACCGTCGCGCGGTTGACCCGCGCGGTTTTTTCGCGCGGTCGACGCGCGACAGTCGTGCCCCCCACTGAAGGTGCTGCGGATCTTGTCTTCGTCCCAATCCGCGGGGAAATTCTTCACCTTTGGCACCGCTGGCTCTCCGCTCGAACCGGTTCGTCTGGGCGAACCGTGCGGATGGGACCGGGGAGAGACCGTGCGTGTAGCCCTGACAACCCGCCCTGGACTCCAGCGGTAAAGCCTGGGTGTGGAGAGGCAGGTACGTCCGCAGGTTTGGACCAATAATCAAAAGCGGCCGGTTCTCATCTTCACGGTGAAGCCCAACAGGATCATACAAGTTTCACACCGTTGGATACTTGTTACATTGCTAAACAAAGCCAGTACTGGTGGTGTCGAATTCTTGAGATGCTTGGCACAACTGCAGTGCTTCTGCGTCTGCCCGATTCATGCTCGAGGCCGACCATCATAAAAAACCTCGTGACCCCCTTGGGGCTCCTGACATGGTGGGTCAACACCCGGAGATGGTTTTTCCCACCGAACATGAACAGAGACGACCAAACCATGGCCCACCGGGCTATACCGGGTGAGCTTCGGGCGCCCCTGGCTTCTGACCCAAGCCACATAGATGTTGGTGAAGTTCTCCTTGTCAACGCCTTTGTCGTCCCTCTTCTGGAACTCACAGACCTGCCGTCGATCAGACTGCGTAAGGCGCTGCTGAGCTGCTCGGAACTGCCCGATTCAACGGACGGAGTCGCAGGTCAGGGACTGTTTCCGCAGGGGGTCGCCCTTGCTTCGAATGCATGAAGAGCAACTTCAAAGGGGGTTCCAAGGTGTGGACCTCTGTTCCAACCTCGGCCCACTTCACCGCACGCGGCGCCTGCACCGTCTTTTCGCCGATCATCATGCCATCGACCTTCTCGATGGCCTGCGGTGATCCACGGTGCATCGAAACCACCCGATCCCGATGGGCCAAGAAAGGCCCAGAGCGGAGAAGGCAGAACGTGGTCACCAAGCGAAAACACCTGCCGTGCCATGTCGATTTGGATGATATGCAACAAGGTGAAACCAACAACTTTAGTTGTGGAGCTTTGACCACCAAAGACAGGGTGTGCAGTTCGGCGTGCGTCCTATCACCGCTCACCTCATGCTGGAGATATAACTGAAGGAAACACAGGGATGGAAACTTAGCAACCAGGAGCTTCTAAGTGACCACTTTTGGAGTCTGTAAGTGACCTTTTACGGGCCTAAGTGACCTCATCCTGGGATATCAAAAGGATTCAAAAGGTCCCTTTGAAGGTCCTGGAAGTAATTATGCTAAGTGGGAAAACGGAATCGGCAGAAACCCTGCCCGGTCCATCGAATTCATTCTCATGGCTTCCAGAAAAAAGAACGGAAGCCCCCAAAACCGAAGCCCCAAATACGAAATCGCGCGGTGGACACCGGTGGGGACGGACCACCGGGTGGCACCTGCTTCGCCGCTTCGTCGGTCTCGTAGTGCACAAAGCCGTAGCCTGAAGGTCTCGCTAGCGATCCGAGACGTGGCGCGCGGACGTCGGTGTTCCGAAAGAGAATGGCGGAACGTGTAGAAATCCATGGCAAAATCCCAACAGCAAAACCATGTAAAGCCCCTGGTAATTCTCTATAGAACCGAAAACCGGTGCTTGGACCTGCCAACTCGGTGGCGAAGACCACTCCGCACCTCGCCACACCTACCCCACCTACCCTTACCCACTCCACCCCCGGCTCCACCGGCTGGGCGTCCCGAGCCGTAGGAGTTCCCATTTGGATCCGCCGCCACCTGCCGGACCCGCTCGGTCGCTCGCCGGACCCGCTCGGTCGGTCGGAGCCCGCGGATCCGTCGGTCGGGGCGCACCTTGCAGGACAAGATGTTGCCAAAGAGGCTGAAGGTGTCGTAGAGGGCCTGCACCCACGGGGACGTAGAGAGAGCGTCAGGACGTAGAGAGAGCGTCAAGGAAAAGAGGCGAAGAGAGGCGAACAGAGACGTCTTACGAGAGTTTGATGAAGACGTGCTGTACCCTTCTGGGCAGTAGATAGTTGATGCCCAGCACAATGCATCCCAAGCCTGTACTGCCCAAAAGAGCCCTGTGAAAGATAAAGGCGAATCCCAGTCTAAGTACCTTGCCTTCTAAGGGGGGGTTGGTTAACATCAGTTCTCTCCACTGGGACATGCCCGCCGGCTGTCCATCGCCAGCCAATAGACTTTGAAAGAACCATCCAAAGACACCATGCAGGAGCAAAACCTCACATACATCTCCTTTGCTAAATCCATCTGCAAGACCTATATAATCGCCAACAGCGGTTCTTCAGTTTCTCCCCAGCACCTTCAAAGGGGTCACCTGGCTGGAAGCCCCTACACTACCTAGGGATCTCCAGCCAGGACACCCCTTTGAAGGTCCAGGCCTTGTTGTCGATGTTCTTGTCCAAGTTCTTCACATAGATATTCCCCGTGCCGCTCTTCCGCAGCGAGGGGTCTCGCTGGGACCACATGATGCCTGCGGATCTCCCCCCACGTCAGTCGGTCGCGGAAGTCGGTCAGGAGCACGCGGTAGAGGGAGTGGGAGGGGTTGGATGGGTGGAGGGGGACTGAATCGAGGCAACAAAACACACTGAAATGGAAAGATGGAAAAGACATCTAAGAGGGGGGTTCCCTTCATCGTCTTCTCACCGCCCGTGAGGTGTTTCCTTGCTTTTTGGCGGATGACCTTCACTGGTTTTTGGCGGGCATACCTCTGTCCCGGCCAAAGTACACACATCGCCCAGATATTTGTGAAACTGACCAACTGCAGATTTTGAAAATGCATTGCCAAAATAGATATAGTCTCTCTTCTCTTTATATCAGCTCTTCATCACCACTCCATCACTGACCAACAAAAACCACACCATCGATGCGACGACGTCTTTTTTGTCTCCTCCCAAAAAACCGTGGCCGCCGAACCGCGAAGCACATCGCCGAACCGCGCCGACTTCGCTGGTCTTCTTCCTCTCCGTTGGCTTCGCTTTCGCCGAGGAACGGCACGAACGTCCCTTGATGCTGGAGTAGTTCAGGGTGTCGAGGGCTCGCTCAGCGTCGGACCTGGACGGAGCGCCCGGACGTCACGGGGCCGTATTTCCGGACGGACGAGCGTCGCTTGCAGCGGGACGAGAGACGCGGAATGGGCTCCTGGCCCAGCTCCGTTTCGGTTCGATGGGACAGGGGTGGGTGGTCTTGGGGGTCTAACCACTGAGGAGATGGTTGGAGGTGTAGGGATATGTTTTTTGGACAGGTGTCCGTTCAAAGAAGTGGAAAACTAGACCACTTTTTCGAAGAAATCTATATACGTCCAGTCTGAGCCCAGTCAAAGCTGGTGTTTTTGTAGGAGCAACTCCAGTAGAATGAGGTCATTCACATGTTAGGAAAGAAAAGACTACAAGTCGAAAGTAGTGTCTATAAATAAAGGAAAAACATTGAGAAAATGATAAACACATAAGACCAAGAAGGAAACGACAAAATTCATCAAAGACGCACCCTTTTAGTTGTATGCCTATCTTTTGAGGGCTTTGGGCCTTCCACTTTGAAGAGTGGGTTCGGTACACCTACTCCACTCGGATCTCAACAAGAAAGGATCTCTCACGACTGGCACGACTGGCGACGATTGGCGACACCCCTTCTCGTCTTGGCCCTTCTGCCGACCCGCCCAGCACGACCGACGCCCGGGCTCCCGAACACGTTGTGGAAATTCACCTCACCGCCGACGATAGCGGCGGCGCGGCGCCGGCGCCGCTGGTACAACGTGCGGATTGAGGTCGAGTCGGGGTGGTTGAGTGGCTTCGCACTTACCAGGGACTGAAACCGGTGGATCCTCTTCGGATTGAACCTATGGAGACCTCAAAATGCCTAGAACCTGAATGACCTCTATGTTGGATCATCAACCACCCAAAATAAGGTCTTTTCCTATCAAAACAGAGGTCAAATGGGCTCTAGGTGGATAGAAGGTCGTAGATCCCCACTCAAAATCTATGGGAAAACCGAGCCACAGTCATCTATTTGAGGACCACTTGAAAAATGGAGACCCTTTATGATTCTCCAGCCATTTGGATGGGTTCTCCCCCAAAAGATCACACCCACACACCTTCCTGCATGGTGTTGAAGCCCTGTGGGCAGGGTGCCCCAAAACCGGGGGCCGTCCGTGGATGGGCCGCGATGGGACACAGCGGACACGAAGAAACCTCGTCGTCCTCCCGTTGGATTCCTTGGCCCTTGGCATGTCTGCCAAGAATGGACGAAGATGAAACCAGCCCTGAAGAGCTTTCCAAAGTCAAAAGACTACTATGAATATAATATATATATATAATGAGTTTTTTAATCATTATATCTCTGTTGCTCCAGTACATGACACTTTTTGCCGCCATCACGGCAGAGGGTCATCGGTTGAATCCTTCGCCAGCACGGTCAAAACCTCTTCGACCTCCTGGCGACCCAGTCCCTGCCATCGCCGAGGAACATAGCCATAGCCTCGAGACGCAGCTGTCCCGGAGAACGACCGGCACCGACCGATTGTTGAGGGGACGAAAGGCGGCCGACCGGGTGTGCGAGGGGAGGCGGTTCATCAGCTTAGCAGTTGCTCGTTCGAACACGGAGCCGAAGGCAAAAGAGGTAGAAATAGAAGATCCGTGTAAAAAACAGACATGAAAACACACGATATACCCACGTTCATGTGTAGTGCATATTTAAAAAAGAAACCCTGCCATCCAAAGCTTGGGTGTTCCTCTTGAGAGACTCGTCCAACCAGGCAGGTGCACACGGGAAAACTATGGAAAACTGCTGTGTTGGCCTCTGCTGCGGCATGTCACAGAGCAAAAGCTAGCTAATGCTGGATAGACACATCTCCCACATCTATGTAAAACATCTCACATTCCTCCGAGCCCATCTTTACCATCCTCACCCCCGAAAAAAAGACTCCTGTCGCTTTCAAGGTCCTTTCCATGCTTTATTCTGTGTATTCTCCACTCCCCCACCAAACCCAGTCCGCACCAAACCCCGCCAAACCCCCAGCACGCACCTCCCCTCCCCTCCGCTGAGCCGCTGTGCTGCGGTCCAAGGAGCCCAGAGACTTGCGCGACACGCTGTCGCGGCAGACGCGGATGGAGGCCACGGGGCCCACGGAGTTGAAGATCTCGTACAACATCGCCTCCGATCGTCCCGTCGCCGGGTCTCGTCGCGCGGAAACGGGGCAGCTTTCTATCCACCTAGAGCCCATTTGACCTCTGGTTTGATAGGAAGAGACCTTATTTGGGGTGGTTGGTGATCCAACATAGAGGTCATTCAGCTTCTAGGATAGCTTTTTGGGGCCGATGACTCGATAGGTGAGGTGGAGTTGGTCGGTCTCAGAGGGTTCAGAGTACTAAGGCTAGTTAGCTAGTTAGTAAAGAGGAACAAGAACCAGCACCACGGGTGCCCACGTGTCCAGGTCAATAGGCCCCGAAAAACATGGAGGATTCCAGCGAGCCCCGCACCAAACGGATCGAGATAGAGTTCGTTACCACGGAGTGCTTCGACACCGTTCCCTTTCCACATGTTCCCCCCGCTTGAAACGCGCCCTTTCGTCGGTCTCCCTCCTTCTTTTTTCCCCAAAAGGCACCGGGCGCGCCCGGTCTCCACCCGCCACCCGCCCCCTTCCTCTTCCGGCCTCGGTCACGTCGGGCTGCAGGTCGCCCACGTAGAGCGACGCGAACTGCGGAACGGCACCTGGGACTCGGTCGAAGTGCGGCTGAAGTGCGGCGCCGGTCGGGAGCCAAGCAGGCTTTCTCTCGAGTCCCCCTTTGGAGCTCCATGTGTTGGAACCCCTATCCCTATCCCGTCCAAGACCGATTCAAAAGAGAGTTTGCGGTGACCAAAGCGAGCTTCCTTGACTTCGGTGCCCAAAAAATTAGGGCGAACTAGACTTCGGCTACAGTAGGGGATGTTCACTCCCAGGTGAAGTGCAGAGAGTCCTTGGAAGTTCGGGGAAGCTATCTTGGAAGTTTGAAAGTCCTTTGGTTCCGGAAGAAATTGGCCCCCCGCTGGCTCCCGAAGAAGATAAACACTAACGGAGAGACCATCGCTGCGAAGGGAGCAAGGACGCTACAAACGTAGCTCCTGGCCTTACTACTAGGAACAAGAAGCTGTGATCCCAAGCTGCTGTCCTACCCAATCGGTCCAACCCTCAAACCATCTGGAATCCCCTACCCCCGCCACTACTGCCTCCGGGAGCTGCCATCACTGAAATCGGCTAATTGCCAGAAAGACTCCTCGGTTTCGCCGGTTTAGCACGGTCATTGGTAGATTCTGTCTTCGGCGGGGGGGGAATGGTGGAAGTCGGGCAGGGGATGATTGATTCTTCAAGACTTCTCTAATTCTTATTTTGTGTTGTTCTTTCTTGATTCTACTTCGAGGGCACGAAGGGGACCAAAGAGTGCGTCTCACAAAAAGAAAATATATATAATATGGTCTCACTCCAAGACATTCTTGAAGGTCAGCCGTCAAATGTTCTTCTTTCACGGCATGATGATGCCCTGACTCCTAGATTGCCTCAACCCTCTCCTTAAACCCTCTCCTTATTGAGAACGACCTCCCAAAATGCTTGGTGCACATCCCCTGCGGAAGACAACTCTATGTTCCTATTCCAACAAGTCTTTTCGTTGGCACCCTCCTCTTTTCGCCCAGCACACCGTACACATCTGCAGCTGAGACGCTTTTTATGGGTTTGGCAGTCCGCTATGTGCCATGCGCTGGGGTATGCACTCTGTGGGCTGGTCTATAGTTGGCATCCTTTGTTAAATCTCTGTGGCAAATCTTCTGTCACTCTGTCAATCCTACGTCACCATTTTGAACTCTGTAGATTTTGCGACTTCTGAGCTCACAATCTGCAAAGGTCAAGCGGTGACCACAGCTGTCCACAGCTGACGAGATCTTTCATGTCGCCGAGATCATGGAACGCCTTGACACGGATTGAGCAAGTTGGCTCTGGGCCATCCAGGCGACGCATGCCACGGAAGACGCGTCTCGCAAAAAGACACCCCTGCAACGGGTCACGAAAAGAAGCACATCGAATATTCGGCAGTTTACTCCCCAACCACCTGAATGTTGCCATGAGGAAACCAACTACTCAGTAATTACTGTTAAATTCATGGAAGAATCTTGTCTTTGCTACTAGTGGTTTCTTGTTCCTAGTAGCGATGGCCTCCAACCTCATAGCGATGGCCTCCACCGTGCGTAGCTTCTAGTTACTAGCCTGTGAGAGCTGCCAGACGTGCCGTCTGGAGCCAAAACCAAAACCGGCGAATTGAATCACCTACACAGCTTGGGTGGGATCTTATCGCTGGGGGATCACCTCAAGCTCCCTGACGTGAAGGTCCTGCGCGTAGGAACCACACCATTCGACGAATTTGCCAAGTGGTTGGGCATTGAGCACATCCTCCATTCTGCCTATCAATCCGCGGATAAGAAGAGATCCTCCGCTTGTTGATCGTACCTTAAACACAGGGAGAATTGAACCGAACATCTTCTAGACTGACTGAGAGGACCCGTGGGATTGTGGATATTTATATAATATATATATATACCAGCACCCGACTCCCCCTGAGCCATCCAGTCTCGTGCCACTCTGACGCTTATCTTTTACGTGTGTTTCAGAGCGGTCCACAAAAAGCACCTTCTTGGGGGGTGTGCCATCTACTCTGAAACCAGCAACATAGATCATCGAAGCTGCTTCGTCACAGGGAGGCCATCTCATGATATCTCATGTCGATCGTGCCCTCGCAGAACCATCCGACCGAATGTCAAGAACATGGAGAGGTACAGCCTGCCAAAGTCCTTCTCTAGCTGGCTTAAAAGAAACACCTGGAGGCCTGCCGTCGCCGTCGCCCCTCCTCACGGACCTGCGAGATCTGGTAGCTCATCAGGCCTCGGTCCCGCCACGTCCCGCCGCGTCCACGCGCCGAGGACCGACGAGAGGTGCGGAGGTGTCGGGATGACCAGACCAGCACGAAGAGGGAGGGAGCATGAATGAAAGGGAGCGAAATCTATTCGAAGCTCGCGAAATCCTTTAGCGACGATCTATTTGCAAGACACCAAGCAAGATGCAAAAAGTCAAAAAGTGAGAAAAGTCAAAAAGTCAAAAAGGTAAAGGAAACGAAAGCACGCAGCGAGACTTTTCGACTTTTCGCGACTTTTCGACTTTTCGACTTTTATCACGTTTTCGCGATGTTTCGACTTTTCGCGACTGTTCGACTTTTCGCAAAAAAGTTCGGAGAGCAAGTAGATCCAGCTCACACATTTAGCAACCACAGTTTCTATTGGTGATGATGATGATGATGATGATGATGATGATGTTGATGTTGATGTTGCTTGTAAACAATGCTTGATTCATTGCTTCGACTGTCTATGGCTTTGCCATCGGGATCGGCTCGAGCACGCCAAGGCCAGCACATTTGCTCTGAAAGTCGTCGCACCAAATCAAGCGACAAATCCTCGGCTCGATTCGCCAGCCCAGCGGAGCCGATTGCGGGGCTGTCGCGCGCTCGCTCGGAGCTGGCGGGTCCGGACCGGTGACCAGACCCTTCGCTAAGGGTTTTGACCCACCCCATCCCACATCCAACGGCATCCAACGGCATCGCACGACCACCAACGACTACCTCGTGTTTCGTCGCTCGTTCCCAAAAAGGACTCTTCGGTGAAGCTTTCGGGCGACGGTGAGGTTGGGTGGTCGGTGAAGCTTTCCCCAGTCATCAAACCCGGCAAGCTGGAGCTTTCCTCTTCAACTTGGAGTATGCAAAAACAACCAACCAACCCAAACACATCAACCAAATGAAACCACCGACCGCAAAACGAACCGCAACCAGACATCCAGTGAAGTCAACCTTTCGCTTCTTGTATGTTGTCTCTTTGGGCAGCGGCAGGTGTCTGGGAAGTCTCAGTCCTACAAGTAGTCGGCGGAGCAAACCCCTCTCCCCTCTGCTTTTGGGGCGAAAAGGTTGCATATAGTCAGACTCAGAGTTCTCATCGAAGACGCGGTTGTTTCCTTGAAAGCCAGTACGCCCCCTGATACTTGCGCCCGAGGGCGCAGGTTGCACTCCACTGAAAGGGGAGGTTCCTCATGAAAAGAACAAGCACGAACGATCGAGTCATTGAAAACCCATTGGCCCAATGTGAAAGGCGGCTCCCTGATGAAAACCGCGGTCTCCATTGGAGCCTCCAGCTTGGGGTGTCTCTTCACAGCGTCTGAACAACCCCAGCTCATGGGGGGTTCTGGTAACAACCTCCCTTTGCTCAGTTCCACCTCCCTGGTCCCTTCACCCCCCCGGGCTTTTGAACGGACGGCGCTTCGCGGAGCCCAAGCGGCCCGAGCAAGAACTCGTAACCTGAGGCCGCGGTCCCCCGCGAACCGCGCGGCTCGTGCATCGAAGCGAAGCAGAGAAGCCCCGTCTTGGCCGGGGAAGAAGGGAGTGGTTCCTTTCTTAGACGAATTTAGTCAAGAAAAAACTCCGTTCGTCAGCCTTCTTGTTCCTAGTAAGGCCAGGAGCCCCGATCGTAGCGTCCGAACGCTCCGTTCGTAGCGATGCCCGAAATGCTCCGTTCGTAGCGTCCTTTCTTAGAAGAAGGATATCCAAGTGACTAAATTCATGAACAGTCACAAAAGGGTGCTTAATGGAGGTTAGGGGTGCCCACTATCCACTCACTTGGGGACTAAACACCACCCCGTACTTGTCACTCCTGGAACGATGTTTTTCTCGTCACTGAACGATGCGGATCCACTCTCCGACTCACCGACTCATGCCCTCTGCCGACCACCGACCACTTCCTGTCCCCCTGCTTCGCTGAAAAACCGCGGTCGCCGAAGGCGCAGAGAACGATGCCATGCGTTCGCGCGGCGCTTCGCTAGCGACCGGTGGCGGCCACCGACTTCCCAGCCGAGTCGGTCGCCCTTCAGGACCCACGACAAGGGGTGCTTTTCATGGACACCCCGAATCACCTCCTTTCGGGGCTATCAAGTTCGACACCCCCTGGTCCGGGTGTCCAGTCCGATTTCCAGGATCCATCACTCTTCGGGAAGTTCTCTTAGTTCGGGAGGCGCCGACTGGCCGGTCAGTGGCCAAAACCGAGGGGCCGGTCGGCCAAGCCGACCGGCGGCCCGGTCCAATGCTCTGCCCGGGAGAGAGGCGGCAAGCTTTGCCTTGTGCGTGCATGTGTTCATAGACTCCAACATGACCAAACCGAACCAAAAAAACCGAACACCCAAATTCAGCCTCACGAGCCGACGAAAGCCCGAACACTGACCTCCTCCGCTCTCCTCCTCTGCTCACGGCGCTTTCACTGCTGAGCTCCCCAGCGGTCCAAGACCCCGTCGCCATCCGCGTCCAGGAGCCCAAAGAGGTCCTTGGCCTCGAACCTGGGCGGTGCACCCGGAAGCGTGTGGTGGGGGGGGGCGTTTTAAGGAGGTTTTAGCCTCGATTTGTTGGCCCAAAAAGCGGGAGTGCAGCGATTGACAGGCAGCAGGTCTTTCAGGTTGCTTTTTGCGTGGCAGGCAAGACTCCGGACCTTGGACCTCTGCCTGCAGTCACAAAGGGGTGCTTAATGGAGGTTAGGGGTGCCCACTATCCACTCACTTGGGGACTAAAAACCACTCCGACATGTGACTCCTGGTGGAAGGTTCGTTTGGACCTCGGGAAGTGAGTGAGGGCAAATTGGGCCCCAACAGCGAGCGACGGCCAGTTTCACCGAGCTACGACCTCGTCGTTGGGACTGGTGAGCAAAGGGTATTCTTCATTATGCCTTGCACACCTCTCTAATCACTGCGAGGGCACGGCAAGTCGCACGGCAAGCGATTCCATGCCGCCGACCAGAGCATGTCCCAGTACCAGGGCCCTAGTGGATGATGATGCTTAGGTAGGCCTACCCCCCCCAATTAGTGCTCATCTTCTATCCTTCCTGTTGCAGATTGACTGGGACACACCCTATATAAATCATATACACACTATATACAATATATTTTTTTTTGCGCGACTTTTCTGTGCCATTGCGTGCGAGCTCACGTGAACCATTGGCGGAGATCAGTGGCTCCAGCCATCACACATCTACGCGTCATCTTGTCCGTCAGCTGGATGGTGCCCTCAACGATCTTGCCTCTGCCGCCACACCTGGAGCAGGAGAGCTGCATGCCTCGGCGCATCACCACGTGAGACGGATGCCCGGTCCAAGCGCTGCTCTCGACCAGCCCCACGTGGCATTTGCTTCCAACAAAGGAAGCAAAAGCGTCCTCTCGGCACCTGGCAAGGATGTAGAGGTGACACTCGGAACACCGTAGGTAAGCTTTGTCCAACCGGAGGTGGTGGACGCCTTGCTGGACCTCAGACTGAGCGCTGATGAGATCGTTGATGACCTCAAAGCGGGTCTTCTTGGGCGCAGAAGAGGGCACCGCCTGCTCACACGAGGATGTCAAAGCTGGCCTAAGCTCAGTCATGAGGCTCTTGGCATGGAGCCGTTGTTTGCATTGCTGACAACGCACCCCGGTTCTGTAGGGTTGCCATTGGTGCCCCCCTTGGTCCGGCAGAGTTGGTCTAAAATGACCTTCTTCTGCTGGATGAGGGGGACCTTGGAGTCCTGCTGGATCTTCTGGCCCTGGTGCAAGAAGTGGGAGCGGTCCTTCATCAAGACGTCCATTCTGGCCCCTGCGACATGCAGGATGTCCCTGGTGTCTTCCTCGATGTGTCGTTGCAAATCCAGAATCTCCTCTTTCCTGGATGCTTGAGCAAAAGCTGCGG